TGTGGGCATGTATGGCAAACAGTCACCGCTCGCAATGGTTGGATAGATGCGCGCGACGTCTATGCAGAGAGCTACGCATACTGCAGCGACAAATCCAGAGCGGTTCAGTCGGGGTCCCCGTCACAGGAACTAGAGGTAAATGTAACGGTCATATCTACCACAAACGTAGATAAAATACATCGGCAATATCGTCCCTAAAAATGCAATGTAACTCAAGCCCACTACCAAATCATCAACTTATGTAAAAACGACATCAAAGAGTCTCCAGAAGAAACAGGTGTTGAGGGAGGAGGCGCTACTCGACAGTAGCAAAACAAGACGGCGAAAGGACCTCGTCTCTTGCTTTCCTTCTACTTCAGAAGTAATAATTATTGTGTCGCTGCTGATGGAGATAGAAGTCCTCCAATCTGCCCCCACCAGTCCCCAGGTGGCTAGCCATTGTCCGGGGCTGGCCCCTCCTCGTCCTACCACGAGAGCCACAGGTGCATTACCACCGCGTACCGCACGATCGCCCTCCAGTTACAGTGATCAGAAGCACACACTGTCTGCGCCGGCCCGGTACGACACTCGGCCTGCTGCAGCGCGGTGCTCAGGCCAGCAGCGGTCCCATGCTCAGGCCAGGCCAGGCGCAGCGCTCAGGTCTGTCCCGGCGTGTAGGTCCGTAGCAGTCTCATGTTGAGGTCAGCAGCAGGTTGGCGACCTCATGCTCAGGTCAGCGACCCGGCGCTGGCGCTGTGACTCGGCTCTCAGTTCCGCCCCGCTCAGTTCCGCTCCGCTCAGTTCCGCCCCGCTCAGTTCGGCTGCTCAGGTGAGCGGCGGCCCGGCGCTGCCGCTCAGCTGAGTCTCCTCAGCACTGTCGTCGTTTGGTGACCGACTGGCCGGCCAGCGTGCGCCGTTCTCCAGCGGCACGTTTACGCGAGATGTGACGGTAGCCGTGCGCGCCACCTGGCGCAGCGTGCGCGACTTCTCATCCGAGCTGGCGGGCAGACGGGGGGGGGGGGGGGGGGGGGGGAGGTCAGAGAGGGACAGAAGAGGGCACGGTCAAAGGCGGACAGACGAGGGGGGAGGGGGGGGGGGGGGGGGAGTCTAATATTATGCAACTTCTTAGCCACGGGCCATCGATCCTGAATTGTTGATTACGCTATGCACACTTCGGAAAGCCATTTCAGCGGGTGGTGACCTTTGGTGAGTTGCGAATCGACGTCTTATTGATGAAATACTGAGCTTTGACGTCGCGAATGCAAGAGGATCACTGTTTGCGAGAGGCCAACCTCTCCAGGTCATCAGGTCAGTTGGCATAATTACCGTAGCTGATCTCGGGCTAAAATTTTCACGTCTGCGAAAAAATACCGGCTGGTGGAGGAAGACAGTCTGAGGTGACCTTAAACCTACTTGGTGATATTACTTAACCCGCGCCCGGCTGGGGGTCCTGGATTTCCACGCCCTGCTGGGGGGGGGGGTGTTTGAACACCCCCCCCCCTTGTAACTCGGCTCCTGGGCCACGTAGCGATACGCGGAAGGCGGCGTTCGAAAGAGCGTAAAAAATAATGAGGAAATCACTTCGGTCAATTTTTGGTCAGGTCAAAGGTCAGGTCACCAGAGGTCATTGAAGGCAAAATTTCGCCGATTTCCAGGTCGAATGTCGAAAATTTCCAAGAAGCTAACGAATAGCTCGTGAACCAATAGAGCTACAGCGCCGCGGAAAAGTGCATTCGATAGCCCTATTAACGCCCTTTCTGAGTAATTCTCTCAGATTTGACCTAACGTCAACGGTTTTGCCTGCAGGGGGCAAAAACTGCAAAAATAGCCGATTTTTTCGGAAACAGTTTTTCTGCAATAACTTTTGACCCAAGCCTTGTACGAGCTTACTTTTACCGGCATCGTGTTCCTCTCGTCAAGACGCATCGAATGAACTATAACTTGACCTTGAAAGGTCAACTTGAAAATTTGACCTCAGGTCAAGGTCATGACCTGACCGGAAAGGGTCATGTTGCATATCAGTCGATCCGTATCGTCGAGCTGAACACATATAAGGCGTTTTCATCGCTCTAGCATGCCTCTATCAAAAGTTATTTGCGAAAAACTGTTAGATACCATTCGTGACCTAAGATGACCTCAGGGCACAAACAAGGGTCACGGACACCATTTTCATGTTCATTGTGTCTAAACCACTTGTAATTCGGTGTTTGGGAGTGTTTATAATGTCTTTCGTCCAAAAGAGGCGCATTTCAATTTTCTCCCATTGACTTATAATGGGGAGGTCGCAAAATTGACCTGACCTTAGGTCATCGATATCAAAATTCTGAGATATACATTTTGTACATGCTATTGCTCTTAGCAATCGCTGAAAGTTTCAAAGCGATCGGTCACTCGGTGTAGCTATGACAGACATTGAAACTTTTTATGAGGTGAGGTCACTTCAAGTGACCTGGTGACTTGACCTTGAATGACCTTGGTCTGAAATTTTCACAACATGTGTAGAATTGATGTATGATAAGGTGTACCAAAAACGGCGGCGCGGAGCGCCGCCGTTTTTGAGATATTCGCGAAAAACCACAAGGGGGGTGTTCAAACACCCCCCCCCCCCAGCAGGGCGCGGGTTAACACGCAAAGAAAGATCGTTACCGTAATAAATAACCAATTACGGCAATTATGCAGCACGTGGCAACTGTGCCGTGCCATCGTGAAATCACACGATTTTCCAGCTCGTAACCGCCACCGTCCGAATGTCTCGCATTATCCCGTTGAACTCGCCTTCCACCCATCGACTCAGATGGTGAATACGCAGCCCTTATACTGGTGAGCGGTGATTGAGGCAGTGACTTTAGGTCCCTTACCCTGTCCAGCGAGAAGGCGACTATATGGCCGGAACACTGTCCGTTGAGACAGTAGTGTCTATACGTCACCGGACTGTTTTAAAGGAGACAACGACTACAGCATCAGGCTGCACATTTTCTATTGATAGGTACGATTTTTGTTCGGCCCTCAGACTGTCGAGTGTCGATATGTACGGCGCCCCTAGCTGTCAATATAAACGGCACCCTAAGCCCTACGGCGCCCGTGGCTGTCAATTGAGACGCTGGCGCGTGGACAGGTAGACAACATCCCCTCCCCCTCTCCCGGCCTCTACGTGACAGAAATACCCAGACAGTGACGACGTCTAGCCGTCGGCTGCGTGGGAGAGGGATACGCGACAACGGCAATGGAGGAGACGAGATACTTCAGAGAAAAGTTCTTTCGCATTATACACAAAAGTGTACGAAGGGACCAACCAAGGGCTCCACACTACAGTAGCAACAAACACAAGCAAGATAATGAACAATGTCATGTCAGTGTTGATCAGTGAGTAAAATATGAATCGTTTATGCTTGCAGCTTGCTCAATGCTAATGGCCAATCATCATTCAGTAAATTATCCGCAACGCCCTTGTTGCGATAGGGCGGGTGACCCACCAAATGAGGTAGATGGAGGCGACGACGAAGGCGATGAAGGCCATCCCGAGTGCAATCATGGCGAACATCCAGTAGTTGATTTCGCTGCTCTCTGTGAACCAGCGACCGAGCCTGGTCAGTGCACTGCCAAATCCGCACGGAACTGCCTAACATACCTTCTGAGGGTCGGGGGTACGAACACCAGGGCCTAATTAGGTATCGACCTGGCCTCGATCTGAATCTCGATCTTCTACGTCATGTGAGGCGAGAACAAGGAACGCTCCATCTATGCGCTGAGCCGAACAATTGACGCACGGCGTTTTCTATTGGCACATCGATGGCCACTTCACCGGTGGGGTTTGACGTCACAGTTCTGTGTACGTGTTTCTCGCTGCGACGCAGCTGGTCGACACTTACCTGGTAAGTACTGGACGTACATCTCGAGCACGGCGTTCCTGTCCAGATCCATGGCTGCCTTTTCAGCAGGTCCCTGAAATGGAAAAGGGTCAGTCGCAAGGTCAGTCCGATGGCTCACTCCTGGCAGTGGCCAGTGTTGGCGGTCTATCTTTCATTTTAATATATGGTAGAAAAACTAATGACTATCAAATGTATTGCAGTGGGACTTACGACTACGGGCCTACACGCGAGACGCGTGTCCTAAATTTCACTAGCAAAGATAAAAATTGTGAGCAGCTAAACACACAAAGTGACGAGGTCACAACTTCCCTACATCTTACAACAGAGCAGACAAACCAGAGGTGCGACACGGGCGACACGTCATTGTAACTCACGAGCAGGGTGGATGGCGTGCGACCCGGGGACGTCGTGGCTGGGTGTGTGTATCTGTCGATCACGTATCAATCATTCCACCACTGGCCTCTCTGCCTCTGGTGTGATGTTCTGCTGCACCAGTCGCCGCTCTCCCCTCACCGGCGGGGCCTCACACCGCCGTGCCCGAGCGACGGCTGAACGCAGCAGGCCGCCCTCAATTCACGGTTATTGTCTCCCCACTGCCTCACTGACCACCGAACGTCACCTCGTCCGAACGTCTTCTAGCACCCGGACGTCACCTCGGCGCTTGTGAACGTCACGTCAAAACGTCACCAAGCCGCTTGAACGTCACGTCACTTCATCAACGCCCGACCGTCACGTCTCACCGCCGTCCCGATCGTCCCGCCGCCGTCGCCCGCGCGCTGCTGGCACGTCGCGGCAGCCTGTGCCGCGTCGGTGACGGCGGCCAGCCGTCGCCGCCCGTCGCGATCGATGACGGGGCCGGCGTGACGAGAGCGCCGGCGCCGACGGACGGCGCGCCGCTCCCGATTTGGGCCGCTCACGGAGACACGGGAACGGGCGGACGAGAGGTCACGACTTACGATAGAGCGCGCGCGGTCCAGATATGTGGTGTTATGAGGTCATGTAACTGAACCTCACCTCGATAAAAGCCGCAATTGTATTGCCCATTCGCAATCGTTCAAAGGTAGACCACGCGAATCGATCTTCAGCTTTCCTACGAACCTTTTCCGCTCCAAGTGTGACCATCAACACTCCCGGCACCTAAAAGCACGCTGCTGGATGTGATGGACCGAGTGTGTTGTCATGTAGTTCGAGCCGAACACAGATTATCAGGGAATAGTCTTGAATCAAATCAACGCTGCAACTAACATGACCACATCCGGTAGGCGGTAGGTGTGCAAAACAACTGTAAATATAAGCAGAGGCAGGACTTAGCTAGTAACAGAACAGTCACCAATAATTATGAAAAACGTTTACAATGTCTCGATGTACTCAGGCGAAGGCAGTAGGAAGGATTTATTAAGCACATATAATGTGCAATGCTACGCACCATAATGCCATCATCGAGAACGAGGAAGTGTCAGACTCAGCTTATCCTACATACCAAACGGCAACGGGCAAAGAATATGACACACTGTGGTTAGCTGTTTGGAAATCAAGATACCTATCAGCCGGTTCCCAGAGCTGACTCTGTACTTTCACACACCAATGTGGATGGTTACAGCGCACATTAAAAGACGATTTGCACGACACATCCAGACCGGCACTAGCACATTAAAAACACCATCAAGCAGCACCTGTGCATAACTTAAGTCGGGAAAAACGAAACGGCCTTTGCACACAAGCGGCAGTATACCAATAATTATAAGCAATCTTGTATGTGTCCGGTGATATTTTAAACAGATGCGTAGATTAGCTATGCCGGTCATACAGAATGTTGACGAACTTGGAAAGGTTTTACTTAAACATTTTCTTCGTTGACAGAATACCCAACATCATGTCCCAGCACAAACACTTTGTTGCGATTAACCCTATTAGTGGCAGGCTCCTGGCTACCCCATATTAGTGGCAGGGGGGGGGGGGCTGTTTACGACCCCCCCCTTGATATCTCGAGATCTAACCGGCCGATTTTCAAAATTCAAACGGCATTCGATTGGGCTCAACGAGATCTACATTTCTAAAAAAAAATCAAATCAAAAAATGTCAATAGGGGGGTAGAGGGGGGTAAAAACGGGCAAATTGCAGATACATTTTAGACTGTTTATCACGGCCAGGTTTCTGAACCAATCTTAACGCAACTTTTGCCGATCGATAGAGAATGAACCAGGAATTCACATGGATCCTAAAAATATGCATTTTCAAAAATCATAGGCGGATACAGATCATTGAGATTGGGGGTACACAAAAAGTATAGTAAATAAGGTTTTTGTTGGTACTGTTTCTAAAAAGGGTGGCAATGGTCTTGTTATGTTACAATTTTCTTATGAGAGAACGACTAAAATTGTATTGGTCATGCATAGGCGGTGTCAGGGCACCTATGTTGGGAGGTAAAAAATAACCCCCCTTTTTGGACGCCTGGATCCGCCTATTATAGCAAAAACGTGTCAAAAGAGGATGCACATTAATTTTGTATATGTTATCACATGATACCTTTCATTCACTGTTCGTAAAACTGGTGCAGCATCGTGATCTTCGCCCAAATGACTCGCTTCACGAATAGGACCCCCAATTCCCAGTGCTCTGGAGCCGCCCCTGGTAAAGTTATGAACTTGAAATTTTCAGGGAATGTGCCCAATTTAGTTTTAGGAAAAGTCAGAAAATTTCAGCATCGTAGCTTCAGCGGTTTCGGAGATATTCCCGAAAAACCTGAGGGGTGGATAAAAACAACCCCCCCTGCCACTAATAGGGTTAAGGATAATAATAAGGGATAGGTACAGATTTGAATTGAGAATGCCCGCTAAACGTCGTTCACGCGCGAAGGACCGAGACGAGAAAAATGCTAACAGCCCATCAGGGGTCATATCGAGTACCTTAAATTCCGATTGTAAGTACCTTTACAACATCATTCAATGGTGCATTTGGAATAACTGCCAAATGTTGAGGCATAATCTACAGAAAGAGCATCCAGTTCCTAGGAAATGAATAAAAATGTTTTCCAAGTTAATGCCCGTTAGCAGGTAACTCATTTTTCACTCTCCAGTCCACTGACAGGCACATTCATATCGCACGTTCTGACAAATGACGACTAAATCCCCCACGAACGACTCAAACACAAAAACACGAATGCTGCACACGAAACAAGGCCGTTTTCCAATCCGATCGTGAGCTACACAATATGCACACAAAGCATCATTTTGCATGCAAATCTGCATTAAACATTCACATACACTAAGCCGTTTTGAAAATCATCATCCGCAGGTTAGAATTGATCATAGCATTCAGAGACGAACATATCACAAAGCTAAGCGGCGTACTGACACGGTCTGGTCCACTCGCGGACGATATGGCAGCTTTTGTGACGTCACCGTAGGGACCAGTTGGCGCCCGGTGACGGGCGGTCGCAGGACGTACCGCCGTCACTGGCGAGAGGCGGGCGTCCCGTGCCACTGGCGGGCTCCGGACGGCCAGGACGGGCGACACCAGCCGTCACCGGGCAGTCAGTTCACCACGGCAGGGACAGACACAGCTGCAGAAACTCAGACTGGCGCGTGCTGTCGTCTACAGGCTACATCCACCGCGCGCACGATGATGTGTGATGGCGAACTGCACCCGACAGCGCAGCACGGAACGAATAATTCGACTGAACGTGAGCGCGCGCCGCGCCGGTGCACGCACAGTGGTCGGTGATGGGGACAGCTCGAGGCCGCGGATGGACACTAATGGCACTGCCGGTGAAAAATCACACACTGGTCCGCGGAAAACTGGCCAATCACGGAGTGGAAAACACCCCACCGGCCAATCAGATACCAGCTTACAGTGTATCCAATCAACACACAAACTGATTCGCTAGTTTCTTGTTCGATTCGTATGCTTCTGGGCAGTCAGGTGTGCTTTTTCAAGAAACACTTTGACCAAAATGATCCAATCAAAATGAAGCCATCACGTCCCCCGTAGGCAGCTAGTAATGCCCTCCTTCGCTCTCCACCAGTTTGTACTATCGGCCTTCTGATGCTGCTGGATTTCGCTGGACGTCACACAGCACACATCCACGTGACGTCAAGCCTGCACTCAAGCCGCCAACGACCTCGGAACACTGCCCGGTGAGGGCCCGCTGAGCCGGACGGCGGGTGGCGGCTCAGAGGCCGGCTCCGTGGCTCAGAGGCCGGCTCGGTGGCTCAGCGGCCGCTATTACCGGCTCAGAGGCCGTCCTCTCGCCGGTTAGTGTCCGTTCTCTGCGGGCTGGTCGCCCTGTCCGCCAGCTAGTGTCCGTTCTCGGTGGGCTGGTCGCCCTGTCCGCCGGCTAGTGTCCGTTCTCTGCTGGTCGCCCTGTCCGCCGGTTAGTGTCCGTTCTCGGCGGGCTGGTCACCCTGTCCGCCGGCTAGTGTCCGTTCTCTGCGGGCTGGTCTCCCTGTCCGCCGGCTAGTGTCCGTTCTCGGCGGGCTGGTCGCCCTGTCCGCCGACTAGTGTCCGTTCTCGGCGGGCTGGTCGCCCTGTCCGCCGGCCGGCCCGTTGAGCAGCAGCGGTGGCACGAACCGGCGGCCGGCCACCAGCGGCTCCAGACCCTCGCCGGCGTACGAGACCAGCGGCGAGATCTCGCAGATCACCGGGTCCTCCCAGCGCACCCAGGCCTGCTGGCTGCAACCGAGACAGGGGGAGCGGTCAGCTCAGAGACAGGGTCAGCTCAGAGACAGGGTCAGCTCAGAGACAGGGTCAGCTCAGAGACAGGGTCAGCTCAGAGACAGGGTCAGCTCAGAGACAGGGTCAGCTCAGAGACAGGGTCAGCTCGGAGACGGGGTCAGAGGTCAGCTCGGAGACAGGGGTCAGCTCGGAGACAGGGTCAGCTCAGAAACAGGGTCAGCAGTCAGTCGGGACAGGGTCTCAGTGGTCAGCCGGGGCAGGGGTCACCGGTCAGCTCAGAGACAAGGATCAGCGGTCAGCCGGGCCAGGGTCTCAGTGGTCAGCTCAGAGACACAGGGGTCAGCTCGGAGACAAGGATCACCGGTCATCCGCGGGAGGAAAGGATGAGGTCAGAGGTAGGGTCAGCAGCCAGTCCCGAAAGGACTGAGAGGGTCAGCTCAGAGACGGAGTAACCGAGCTCGGAGAGGAAACTAGGGCCCGTAAAGCGTCGCAATACTTCACACCTGGGTGCTCACGAACCATGCAAATATATGCGCATAAGTGTATAAAGTGAAAATGACCCAGGGTGTCACAGAGCCACAGCCTTGTTGAGCCGGAGGCTGTCATTGTCATGGATGCCATGCTGGCTATGCATTATGCAGTTATTCGTAAAACGCCAGCTCCTGTCGTAGGCGCACTGTGGATGCTGATTGTCTTCCGCGTTCGAAAAGTTATACATTGGCCAGAGAGGTAGAGGTGTACATAAATAGCAAAGAAAGAAGAAGAAAACGTTAATATAACTGATGCCAGGATGATACCGTGGATAACATCAAAATCTACCGGTTTCAGCGCGCTGCACCCTTTACAAGCTGCGTTGGTCCTCTTAACATAACACCGGCGAAGACGTGAGGGCGATAGAGCGCCACCCGCACCACCACTACAGCCAACCGGTTATCCTAAATATTTTGTATAATTATGACAAGTATTCCAAAAATGAGCCATGTTTTGAGCCATTAAAAATACAAAACAATATTTTATCTCAATGTAACATTATTTTTCTCGGTTTTTAAACCGGGACCACTCACCCCTTGTTGTTGTTGGCCTCCTCTGGTTTGCCGGTGGCGGGGCTACGAACGGACAATTGCAGGTTAGTAGCGCTCTACGGGGTTCCACAGACAAGCAGACACGTGCAATGCGAGCGTGACTTAGCAAATAATACACCACTAAAGGCATAACCACGTCATCTAAGGTGGCTTTGCTTCACCACAAAAGCTTCTAACTAAATAAAAAGCAGCGAGAGAAAAAACGAATGTTGCCATGCTAAGAGTAAAAAAAAAACTGTGCCATGCATTTTAGGAGCAATACGAAATCTAGTGCAACTAATCTACTACAACATGTTAGGTGGAACACATAATCAGCAGCAAAATATGATACTGTGGGATGATACAACAAATACATACGGAGTGTGTGTGTTGTTGGAGCTTTTGGGTGGGCGCTGCAGCACCGGTCGAGCGCATCAAAATATCGTATCGAGCGCCCTCAAATAATACAGACGGAGTACCTTCCAGCAGATTTCTACCATGATTCGTACAACTAACAAAAAAAAAGGAAAACAAAAAAAAAAACCTGGCGCCAAATTTGGGGTTAAGCTAAACAAGAGAGGGATCTATTCCTATCTATGAGGGTCCGTAGTAATTGAAGTTGGTCGGACGTTGAAGGTCTAACGACAGCGCAGGTTTCCTTGAACTTTGCGTTTCTAACAGCGAATAAGAATTGATTATACCAGATTTGCGAGTGTTGGGTCCGCGCAAATCAGGATGGCCTGTCTCAAACAAAAGAAAACATAACAATTATAGGGGCGGGACTAGGGACGCTGACAAAGACGAAAGCTATGGCTGGAGCCTGGAAACTACAAAAGGGATCGTGGATGTTGTGAGCAGCCACATGTCCGTACTGCTACCCACCTGGGCATGGGTCGAGGGATGGGCCCACTATCCAACCGGGTACGGGAGGGATGGCTTTGCCAGTGTTTGACTGGGATCGACCTACCTGGGTATGAAACGGGATGGGCCAGTGACCGTGTCGCCTAACTGGGTATGAGCGGGATGTCGCCTACCTGGGTATGAGCGGGATGGGCCAGTGTCACCCACCTGGGTATGAGCAGTATGGGCCTACCTGGGTATGAGCGGAATGGGCCTGCCGTCGTCGTCGACGAACTGTCCGCCGGCGGCGAGCACGTAGCGCTGGTGGAGCGAGCAGAGCGCCAGCCGCGCCGTGGTCGGCGTGTCTTTCTCGGCGCCGTCGGCGTTCTTCAGCGGCGAGAACTCGTCCTCGCGCAGCACCTCCCACACGGCGAAATTCCTGCAGTGGGAGCGCAGCGGAGAACGGCGGTGGTAGGCAAACATCGTGAGACACGATCCCACAGTTAAACATAAATAATAGACCTCTTGTTTCATCTCCGCACATATTTTGTCATTAGGTGAGCCCCACACCAGACCTTCTATAGCCCTCGCGGGTACAGGGGGGGGAGGGGTGTTGCGCCTAAGGTTTTTCGCAAATAACTCGCGTAAAAAGCGGCCGATCGCGACGAAACTTTCAGTACCTTTGCGTTGATCAATTTTACACCTACCCTGAAAATTTCATGACCTTGACCCAAATGACCTTTAACCTATGACCTACTTTTCGAGATCATGTTTGGCCGGAATCGCGATTCGGCGTATGTCGGCTCGCATTAAGCCGTGCGTTTGTAGTCTTTTCGTGGTTTCAGGCGTTCAAACATGTGATTTGATGTTGCTCTCATGCATTAGGGTGGTTGTTAAGATCACCTGAAGGTCAGGTCAGGTCATTGACCTAGGATGACCTTGGTCCACTTTTCGAGTTTTACATGTTTATAAGTTAGTTTTTGGAGCTAAATTCGAATTTAGCAACCAATTCAACATTTACGAAGTAGTTTTGATACCTTCGTAACATGTTACGAAGCTGTCAGAGGCGGTCGACACGTACTACGAGTACCCAGCGGGACCCCTACTGGTTGACCTGACCTGACCCGACCTGGCCTAAATGCTTATGTATTTAGGCCAGGTCGGGATAAGACATCATATAGACATCATATAGACAAGATAGACATCATAAACATTATCTATGACCAAAACTAACATGATATTCGTGACCAGCACCCCGAAAAACCCAATAGCAGCCACACTTTACGACGTTCTCACAGGTCCCGATTTTCCCGACTTTTGGGTCATTGATCTGGCCTGGAAGGTCAACCGATGACCTAGGACCTTAAAATTAGGTATCATCGGCTTGCTCTCGTCACAGGCAACACGCTCGTTTTTTCCGCGAAGCTCTAGCTCGATCAGGGGCCAAACGCAGAGGGGGGGGGGCGTTGTACCAACCACCTGAATACGGCCCCTTGTGCAGTCGGACACAAAATGGCCTGTGCCGGCAGGGGCTAAGTTCATAGACCGTGCATGTCAGGTGGCCACGTCCATCAGGGCTGTATCGCAAACAAGTAATAAAACTGAACATTTACCATCCTGGCAACTACCGATAAATGTCAGTGATAAATGTCAGCTGAAATATTATAAAACATGTAATCACAGTTTTTTTCAGAAACGTTTCGCCTGTTATCTGTCGTACTGTTCAGTTATTTTACGGCATGAATTCAACTACATGTGGGCGTAACTTGTGTTTCTTTCGATTCGCTTATTTATAAATGAAAAAGAAATGAAATGAGTTACAATAAGTATCACCATATATTCGAGGAACAGGAGTTAATTTCATCACTCACTTGGAGAACTGGAAGACGTCGAAGACGAATTTCTCCAGTTTGATGCCGTTGGGTTTGTCGGGCTTCTGCGTCTGTCCATCGCTGTCCACGTGCGGAATCTTCTTCTTGGCAACGTGGTGCAGCAGCTCACTCTCGTGCTCACTGAGGGGGACAGAGGGGCGTCAACGACCGCGTGCGGCGAGCACGCACTCGATAACGAGCGCACTCCACTCTTATGGGAAAGATTAAAATGCAATTTTATGCATATTCGGTTTCAAATCGGGGAAGCTCCATTAAGCGTAACTCATAAATGAATTAAAAAGTTCGACATTGATTTTCGGATGAAATGAAGATATCAATGTTCATTAATAGCATAACTCAGAGCATGACCAATATTCACCAACGACAGTGTCGTGAACTCGTCTATAATCTGATTCAGTCCCCACCTTTGCCACTCACCTGACCACGTATTTCAGAAAGTCGAGGGTGAAGAAGTGGTTACAGATGGAGCCGGCCGAGAAGGCGAGCCGGCCATCGGCGCTGCGCTTCTGCGCCGTCTTCAGCGTGATCTCCGAGTACTCCACCACCTGGTAGTGGTCGTCCACCTGGCAGACCACGCCCACCGCCTCCGTCGGGAAGGCCTTCTCCACCACCTGGGCCAGCGTCACCAGCGGTTACCAGCGGTCACCAGCGTCACCAGCGGTCACCAGCGGTCACTTAGTGCACGTGGTACACGGAATACGGCCAACTGTGCCCTCCTAGTGACACCGGAAGTGACTATCGTGATAAGAACTTGTTGGAGGAACACTGAGGAAAGCATGGGGTGGCTTAGAAAGGTCCGGGTAAATAGTATGAACAAAGAGTCTCAATAACACTGCGCTCATCATTTGCTGGTTAAGACAAAGCAATTCTCAACAGTTCTGATATGCTTCTCAGGACTGCAGTGAGCCCTGCCCAGTGCCGCGTCGACCACCCACCTTTGCTCCGCAGTCGGCGCCGCGCGAGATGCAGTAGCCCATGAAGACAGGGTCGGCCATTTTGACCAGGATGTTGTCCACGCAGTACACGTGCAGGTACTTGACGCCGCGCCGCTCCATGTCCTGTAGCATGTTCTCGCGCTCGAGCGCCCGGTACAGGCCGCCGTTACCGTCCGGCGCGCGCGCCACCCGGCTCGGGCTCTCCAAGATGATCTTTCCGTCGAAGCCGAAGCAGGGCAGCGTGCCCTGCTCGAAGAACACCAGGTCGTCGGCGCGGAGTCCGAAGTAGTCATGCTGCTCGAAGAAGCGCACGGTGGGCTCCTTGGTGCTCTCGCTGGTCATGACGTACCAGGTGACGGTGCCTCCGGCTCGGCCCGTCACCTCGCCGGCCAGCTGCTGCAGCCGGCGCACCCCCTCCGACTGCAGCTGGTACAGTGTCTTGGACGACGGCAGGCCCACGTTGTACATGCCCTTGGGGTAGCTGACGCCCAGTCGGGTGCCCTGACCGCCGGCCAGCAGCAGCACGCCCACCTCGCCGCGCGAGACCGCCTCCAGACCTGTCGGAGGGATGGGAGAGGTCAGGGGACGGCCTCTAGGCCTATCAGAGGGAGGGGATCAGTCAGGGGACGGCCTCCAGACCTGTCAGAGGGAGGGGGGAAGGATCAGACAGGGGACCGCCTCCAGACCTGTCGGAGGGAGGGGGTCAGTCAGGGACCGCCTCCTGACCTGTCAGAGGGGCGGGGGGGGGGTCAGACTGGGGAGTGGGGACGGCCACCAGACCTGTCGGAGGGGGGAGGGGGTCAGTCAGGGGACGGCCTCCAGACCTGTCAGAGGGGGAGGTCAGTCAGGAGACCGCCTCCAGACCTGTCAGAGGGGGGGGGGGGTCAGTAAGGGGATGGCCTCCAGACCTGTCGGAGGGAGGGGGGGTCAGTCAGGGGACGGCCTCCAGACCTGCCAGAGGGAGGGGGGTCAGACTGGGGACGGCCTCCAGACCTGTCGGAGGGGGGGGGGGGTCAGTCAGGGAACAGCCTCCAGACCTGTCGGAGGGAGGGGGGGGGGGGGTCAGTCAGGGGACGGCCTCCAGACCTGTCGCAGGGGGGGGGGGGGGTCAGTCAGTGGACGGCCTCCAGACCTGTCAGAGGGAGGGGGAGGGGGTCAGTCAGGAGACCGCCCCCAGACATGTCAGAGGGGGGGGGGGGGGTCAGTCAGGGGACGGCCTCCAGACCTTTCGGAGAGAAAGGGGGGGATAAGTCAAGGTCTTCAATGGTCAGCGGTGGGGGGTGTCAGGGGACGTTCTTATAAACCGTAAGCTAGAGGAGGGAGAGAGGGGTCGTGCAACGGTCCCAGACCTGCCAGACGGAAGAATGGCGTCGGAGAACAGTCTAAAAACCGGTATACGGCGAGAAATAATGTCATGAGTCCCAGAGCTTTGTGCTGGGAGGCAGTGAAGGAAAATTGTCGAATGACAATCTCAAGAGTTGTCCTGGGGGACAGCGAGAATAATTGTCTCTTGAGCTTCCCGAAGGGGAAGGGGAAGATGCGTGAGAGCGGCTTCCCGAGGTGCCCGAGCGATGTTAATTCAGTTGCCCGAACAGTGCACACAGCCGCTATCTGGGTTCAGAAGTGGCCAATACCCTAATTTTCGACAAATTTTAAAGCGCGATTTTCTCACATTTTCTGGTCGTAAATTGATCAGACTGTATAAAATATCAGCCAGAAAAAAATATTACTCATTCTGGCACAGATTGGTGGGCTCCCAAAGTACACCCTTTTGTTTTGCTCCGTGAGACCGAACTTGTGCTGCGATTTTCATGTAAATGTTGACGAGTCTCCTGTCATATTCTTTGCTTGAACATGCGTAAGTAAGATATCAGCTGAAAGGGGATAATGTGCGGAATCCATTGGTAACAATAGTGCATCTAAAAAACTTCCCACTCAGTTATTGTAAGCTAATTGTTGCACACTTGCACAAAGCAGAAGGGCTTGAGGATTTCAATATTTACATAGGCCTACCAAAAAACGCACAGCGTGCTTCACATCGAGACAACGTCCATAACATATACCGTACAATTGTTATTCATTTGCTGAAAAAATTAGGTCGGCATCACACTGCCGGCAAAAGTTATTGCAGTTTTAGTGACGCTAGGTCGCCGCCCGGCCGACCCCGATCAGGTCGGCCGGGCGGCGGCCGCGCAGCTGACGTCCGTACGGTTCGGCAGCTGACCAATCAGCTGCGAGAGAGGAGCGCGGTCCGTCCAAGTCTAATAGCTCCCGGCAGTTGCTTCATGTGCTGAGGGGTGCTCGACGCTCGTGTCGATTGCATTTGTTGGTTGTCGATTGCCGGTAGACTTGTGAGTATACTTTCTGTTGAACAATAAATGTACGTCGTCTTAACTGAATGTAGTCTGATCAAATTCAATAAAGCAAAAAGACATCCAGCCAACAGAACATCGTAAAAATGTCCGATATGGTTGATAACATTCGGATTTTTGGGGAGCAGCCATCGACCAGAATGAACCTTATTGGCTTTTGTATGTAACATTTGCATTGCTTTTGGAAAGTTTCAGTCAGATATCTTCAGAAATGGCAATGTTATCGGCTTTTGCATTTTACCGTAGTCGGTTAATCACAATTTTCGATATTGCAAAGGCAATTTCAGTACGTTCTTGACATCGAAAACCAAAACGAATAGCATCATCGTGTTCCAGAGCTCAAATTGCATCCGATGCACATCTTTTTTTGTTGAGAATGTTCAACTTCAAAATTTGGGCTTTCTGACCTCGCCGTGACCTGACCTTCGGAAATAGTTTCGAATCGGACGACCCAGATGACATCATTTTTAGATGCTTTTGCCGAAATGGACCATTAAAGATGTGTCGCATGACCTTAAAAATGTATACATTTCCTTCCATGACCTTTTCCATGACCTTTTGTGACCCATGACCTTTCCATGACCTTTTGTGGCAAAGTTAGGTTTGGTTTGTCAGCTATTCCTATCAGAAACCGTTTGAACTTTTAGTATTGAACGAGTAGTTTCGAAGACAGCAGGGAAGCTATGCAGAAACCCCTCCCGAGTCACCCACGTTATGGGATATACCCGTCATCCGCGGATTACAAGCAATTTTTTTTACGGCAATGATGTATCAGTATGGATGCTCATACGTTCCCATTAGTGACCTTACGGTTGACTTCACATACAATAAAAATTGCTTGGCAAAATGTCAACTGGTTAACGAGTTATCGCATTTTGGCCACTTCCGAACTCAAATAGCGGCTGTGTGCAGTGGCGCGTACAATTGGATGTATAATATCCATCATATTAACCCGCGCCCGGCTGGGGTCCTGGATTTCCACGCCCCTTCTAACTCGGCTCCTGGGCCACGTAGCGATACGCGGAAGGCGGCGTTCGAAAGAGCGTCAAAAATAATGAGGAAATCACTTCGGTCAATTTTTTGGTCAGGTCAAAGGTCAAGTCACCAGAGGTCATTGAAGGCAAAATTTCGCCGATTTCCAGGTCGAATGTCGACAATTTCCAAGAAGCCAACGCATAACTCGGGAACCAATAGAGCTACAGCGCCGCGGAAAAGCGCATTCGATAGCCCTATTAACGCCATTTCTGAATAATTTTCTCAGATTTGACCTAACGTCAACGGTTTTGCCTGCAGGGAACAAAAACTGCAAAAATAACAGATTTTTTCGGAAAGTTTTTCTGCAATAATTTTTGACCCAAGCCGAGCTTACTTTTTAGCTTAAGTACGAGCTTAAGTACGAGCTTACTTTTACCAGCATCGTGTTCCTCTCGTCAAGACGCATCGAATGAACTATAACTTGACCTTTAAAGGTCAACTTGAAAATTTGACCTCAGGTCAAGGTCATGACCTGACCGGAAAGGGTCATGTTGCATATCAGTCGATCCGTATCGTCGAGCTGAACACATCTAAGGCGTTTTCATCGCTCTAGCATGCCTCTGTTATTTGCGAAAAACTGTTAGATACCATTCGTGACCTAAGATGACCTCAGGGCATAAACAGGGGTCACGGACACCATTTTCATGTTCAGTGTGTCTAAACCACTTGTATTTCAGTGTTTGGGAGTGTTTATAATGTCTTTCGTCCAAAAGAGGCGCATTTCAATTTTCTCCCATTGACTTATAATGGGGAGGTCGCAAAATTGACCTGACCTTAGGTCATCGATATCAAAATTCTGAGATATACATTTTGTACATGCTTTTGCTCTTAGCAATTGCTGAAAGTTTCAAAGCGATCGGTCACTCGGTGTAGCTATGACAGACATTGAAACTTTTTATGAGGAGAGGTCACTTCAAGTGACCTGGTGACCTGACCTTAAATGACCTTGGTCTGAAATTTTCACAACATGTGTAGAATTGATGTATAAGGTGTACTTTCGCGAAAAACTACATGGGGGGGGGGGGGTGTTCAAACACCCCCCCCCCCCCCCCCCAGCAGGGCGCTGGTTAACTCACCTATTTATTCATCAACTCATTTACTTCCTTTTTCACTTTATATCATATCTTTATTTACATATGTATTTCATCACTCCTTTATTGATTGATTTTTGCAGAGGGAGCACCTATTCGACAAGTCAAGTGATGGATATGGTGCAGGTACGAAAATCGTAGCTTGGTAGCATCTGACCAGATATTGATGGACAAATGACATGTTACTGATTACCGAGGAATCTTACCCAATTCACAGGATATATGAGCAGTTTCAATTGCAGAAATATTTATGTCTAAATTAAATAATTATCAAACAACATTTATTAATTCATATTCGTACTGTTAAAGGTGCCGTTTCATGATAATGCGCGGCGACAAATATTGTGCGGTGGTGTTGCCAGAGAAACATGATTGCACATTATCCGCCAAAAAATCTGGCTTTGTTATATCGTCCATCGAAAACTTCGAGCTAAATTTGTTTCAAGATATCAAGCAACCTTACAAACCTGGGCGCTTTCAAACGTAACATTTACTACAACAATAATAAGTACTTCGCCTATCAACAACAGCAATATCGTCTCACATGAAAACCGACGGCATGGCGACAATATATAAATAACGCCGTACGGATCACCGCTTTACAGCGTGTCGCAGTAATCCAATGTCTCCGGCGCCGCGCGGGGCATGCCGCGTCTGTTGCTGGCCCAGCAGCAGCCCCGGCAGTTCCGAGCGTGGCGCAGGCGGGCCCGGTCGTAACACGATCGATACGTGAGACGCGTCACGCCACCACCTGTGTCACGGCGCGTGACGGTCCGGCTGTCGTCACGGCCTGTTCAGTTTACCGGCGACCCTCTAACACGCGGCGATTGGTGGGTGACGTACCGAACAAGTGTACCTCGGATTATCTCAGACTCTTCAGCCAAGCAGCATAGTTTAGAAAAGTAGGAAGCAAGCGAAAAGTTACACCCCGGGACCAAACTTTTCATGTGTTATGCTCTGTAATAAAAACACGATATCTGCAGTATACAAGACTAAAAGAAATCGTAAAATATATGTAACCCTCCAGGCGGGGGGGGGGGCATTTTTTGCCCCCCCCTTTAGTTTTTTCGATATATCTCGAGAACCGCTGCGCCGATCGTCACCAAACTCTCAGTACCCTCCCGGGAGTAGCTAGCGCACATGGTGACCAAATTTTTTTTCCAAAGGCTATGATAGGTTGGCCGCTAATGACGTCAGAGTGACGTCATTTCTGCCATTTTCGACCCAAAAAAGGTTTCGCGGGAAGAGCTGTCAGGCCTACAGCTTTAGAGATACAGAAAAATGTTTCAGACATAAAAGGTGTGGAATCAAGAGGGCTACAAAACTGCTATTTCGGTTTTTTCGATTTTTTTTTATTTTGACCCCCAAAATAAAAAAAATAGATTTTTTGAATATAATAGCCGAAAAATCCAAAAAGTTTTTTGAAGTTCGAAAAAAACGGAATATATGTGATAGTCCCTACCGCTGTCTATCTCCATACCAAATTTGAGATCGATACCTCATTTTTTGGCCAAGTTATAGCGAAAAAAACTGTTCAAAATTGATGATGTCAAATTTTCAAACTCAATTTTTAGCAATTCTAGACCTCGTAGCGCAAAACAAAGACCACCATTAGACTCCCCGTGACGAGCTGCATCGAATCAATACCCATTTTATGCAAAAATATCAACTTTGAAATTTGACCTTTTTTGACCTGACCTTGACCTGACCTCCACCAGAAAGTGACCTAAACCGTACATGATGGTCTTATAACCAACACCATTGAGTTGGAAATGAAAAACTGGCCATAAAACATGCATCACACAACCTTATTAAAGTTGGGTTCATGTGGTGACCCTTGGTGACCTTTGGTGACCTGACCTGTGACCTGACCTGGTATGACCAGTGACCTCTAATAGCAACATATGTACTAGACAACTGACGCCTAATCGCTGATTTTCGACAAAATGCGTTTTACTCGGTGTTATAGCGCTTTCCCTTGAAGCCCCGTGAACAGTGAAACATTTTATCTTTGACCTGACCTGTGACGTCATCGGTGACCCCGAGGTCAATGAAATTTGGTTTCCCCCGACAAATTTGACAGGGCTATCGAACACCGTTTGAATTTTCCGGACCGTCCAGTAGTTTCGGAGATACGGGGGGGGGGGGGGGGCAAAAAAATGTCCCCCCCCCACCGCGCGGAAGGTGGCCGGGAGGCCCACCGCCTGCCGGGTTAAGTAAATGATACGCCATGCATGCCCGTCAGATGGCCTCTGGTGATTGGAGTACGCTCACGCAACTACATAGTTCATCGGCATACACTGATCAAACAGTGAGCGTTCGCAGCGTACGGCTCGGACGAAGGAACTCCAGTGGTAGACATGATGCTAGATGAGGCGACACCGGTAGTCTGTCAACTCTGACCAATGAAGCTGGTCTTAAAATGAAAAACACACCTTGTGTGATAGGTACCTATTCGCCACTTATTGCGTCCCCATCACGGAGTAGGGTTGAAATCCATTTGTACGTATAGGTGCTTTATTCTTTCACTTCCCCTGCGTGCTATACTCTGAGTCCATTTTGCCCCGGCCCACCACGTCACGTTTCAGCACAGACATTCCGCAGCTTTTGATTTCATCATGCAGCGGTACGGTGTGAGCCGACTTTTACCCGTCTACTACCCGGTGTGAGGCGACCTTTCCCGGTTCACCATCGGGTGTGAACCGACCTTTACCCATCCACTGTCCGGTGTGAGGCGACCTTTACCCGTTCACTCTCCGGTGTGAGGCGACCTTTACCCGTTTACTGCCCAATGTGCTGCACCCGGCCGCCCGAGCTCAATTACCACCGGCATCAATAGCCAGCCAGTCTACTGGAAGCGGTCAGCTGGCCGGCGGCCATCTGTCAGCGCGGGAACTGGCCACCTGAAGGGTCGCCTGACTGAGTGAGCCGTCCCGGACCGATCACACATTACCAAGAACGGCCCGCGCGCCGGTCAGCCGCGCTAAATCGATAACGTGACCCGCTTCTGCGCCGCCAGACACTTCACAACAGGACGCCGGCGGTTGGTCAAACACTCGACACCAACTACATACATGGGTATCTTCGCAACGACGCAGGTGCCCTGATCACGGCCCGTGACCAGTGGCCAGGGCTGAACGCCATACATTGAGTTGTGTCAGCAGTGAGGCCCGGCGTGGCCCCCAATCTGATCCCATCCACTCTGCGTTTGAACTGAACTCAGCCTCAATGGGACACTCCAAACGAGCAACTTCAAACAGTACTTGAAACGAAAACGGCGTAGCAGTGCAGAGCGAGCATGAACAATGCACCTATGTACCGGGCTTCTCACAAAAGTCGGACGAATTTATAATCAATATATTTTAGGGTGTATCAGTGTTACAAAAATAAATCAGGTATCACTTGAAAGCCTAGTTAAAAATATTTTGTTTCAGGGGATTTTGACCGTCAGCGATCGCCTTTCTGAGCCGCGCCGGACCTGTTCGAGATGACACCCGTTTCGCTCGATGCACAGTTGAGCCCCGTGCAGCACGGCTTCTGTTGCAGCATGGCACAGGGAAGATGGCAGGCTGCGTACCGCCGACCGTATTGGTCTTTGGGATTTCTTTGGTGGTTTCGGTACACCTGGGACTTGAGGTGGTCCTACAGGAAAAAGTCCGGTGGGGTCAAGTCCAGGGAGCTCGTTGGTGATGATGATGATGATGATTTGGAGTGACAGGGCGCACCAGCTGCGAGGCTATATCGCGCCCATTTCTTATTTGACTTCCTCAGTGTCGGGCGTTAAAAATCACCTGAAGGCCGGAGGCCGCAATAAACGAAAAGAGGCGAGAAGAGTCAAGCAAAGAGGACTCGTCACCTAAGACTGCTCTCAAAGAAAGTTGGGCTCCGCGCAGGCCCAGAAACTTCAGCCGCTCAGCTTCCAGTCTTGGACACTCCAGAAAAACGTGTCGGACGGAAAGTCTGTCGCCACATCTCGCACAAACAGGTCTTGGGCCGACGCCAATAAGGTGTCCATGGGTGCCGAAAGTGTGTCCTGTGCGAAGCCGACAGAGGATGACCTCCTCTCGACGCGACTTGCGTGACGCAGACAGCCAGGTTGCCAAACCCGGTTTGATGCGTAGCAGCTTGTTTGTCTGACATTTGCTCCAAGCCTCCTGCCACTTTCCGCGGAAGAATGAGCTCACCGTAGGGAAAAAGTCCCTGGCCGGTAGAGGGAACCGGCGGGAGCAGGGCTGCCGCGCCGCATGGTTCGCAGCACGGTCCGCCCGCTCATTGCCAGCTATACCAACATGGCTGGGAATCCAGCAAAAAGTCACTGAGGTACCCTCTCGGTCGAGAGCCGTCAAACGGAGAAGAATCTCCTGTACGAGGGGGTCAAGTGGATAGAATTGTGTCAAGGACTGGAGTCCGCTCAATGAGTCGGAGAGGACAAGATATGACCGAGCGGGATGAATCTGGATAAAACATAGAAGTTTGAGGACGGCGACCAATTCGCAGGTAAAAACGGATGCATGTTTAGATAAAGTAAAACATCGCACAGCGTCGCCGCAGACGAAGGCACAGCCAGCACCGAGGTCCGACTTGGACCCATCGGTGTATGCCACGGCATGGCCTGAATATGATTCAATATGTTCCAATGCCTTAGCCTTGAAGGCCAGAGGCAGAATTTGGTCTTTCCGTGTGCCTGATAGGGTTAGGTCCACAGAGGGGACAGATAACCTCCAAGGCGGTTCAGGCAGGATAACAACTCGCATGATGTCCCGAGTGCTTAGGCCACAATGCTCCTCGTTGGTCACGGGTGTGTCTCGAACCTCGAGATCACGCGCTGCCCGGAGCGCTCCTGCAGCCACTCCCGGTTTTCTTTGGCGGCAGGCGGTATTGGCTGTGGAACCGTCTAGCTGGAACTATTGGCACTTGAATGCTTCAGGATCGCTACCGATTGTGGTCTGCAGGACACTCCAAAATTTGTCAGGGTCATCCGGTATCGCTGACCGTTGACAGCCTGGGTAGCGCATCTCTCACGCGAGCGACGTTCGCCGGGCTTCTTTGATTGGATTGGCGGCCGCCGTTATGTTCTTTGAACCCGCAGTTAACATTTCCTCGAGCCAGAAACTTTCAACAATGTGGAAAATAACATTTCAAGATGGTGCTCACTTTGCAAAAAAAAAAGGTTGCGGAAGTTCCATTGTGTTGAAACAACCGACTTATTTTGGAAGTAGAATTTGAGTTTACTTTTGCGTCTTAGATCACTGTCTCATTTTTTTAAACTCAACAAATATGGTTTCATATAAATCTCCTAAAAATTTGCTTTCTTTTCATGTGCATTTGTTTCGTTTAGATATTGCTTCCAGTCCACTATCCGCAAAAGAAATTGGTCCGACTTTTGTGAGAAGCCCGGTAGAATCTTCACCCAATGCAAAACACAAAACGGTAAAACTATTCCTTGCCATCGTAGTGAAACACAGCCGGTAGTGTGGACAGAAAATGGCACCGCAATGACAGAAAACGGAGCTGCTTTTAGCATAATAGCGTGCTATCCGTACCTGTGCGCCGGTAGGCCTCCAGTTGATATCGGTACTGTGTTATCCGTACCTGTGCGCCGGTAGGCCTCCAGCTGATATCGGTACTGTGTTATCCGTACCTGTGCACCGGTAGGCCTCCAGTTGCTCCGCGGAGGAGCGGACCACCGAGCCGAACACCTCTGCCGGCACCGGCTTCAGCCTGTCGTCCAGCTTCTCCTGGTCTTCGGCCTCGTCCAGCGTGCGCCGGTAGAAGGCGTTCACCTCCTGCAGGTCCATGCTGAGGAGGGAGAGACGGGTGGTCAGGTCACAGCGGCGACCACAGCTGCAGAGCAGCGAGGGCACAGACGGGTGAGGAGGGAGAGACGGGTGGTCAGATCACAGAGGAGACAGAGCAGCGAGGGCACGGGCGGCCAGGGACGGAGAGACGGGCGGTCACGGCACACAGGCGGTCACGGAAGTAGAAGTACAGAACACTAAGGCGGTGGGTGTTAGCGGCGCGTTGGTTGACGCGTTGAGTCGCGGTATGGCTGACGGCAGTTTTATTGCTTGTGTAGGGCAAGGACGAGCAGTTGGATGGCCCGCAACCAGGGGGGTGCGCTCCGGGCTTTAAACGTTACGAAAAGTGGAGACACCTTCGCTAGCGCTGTCAGCATCGTAAGCATTCTAAACAACAACTGCAGTAATCCCACCAATCAGCGTACGACAATGCTCGACGCTCATTGGCTGATAAGCCAGGGACGATTTTGGGGGCCAGAGCGTTAGAGGTAACCTATAGCACCACGGGCCGCTATGTTTAGGACTTGATTTTGATATTATTTAGGCCAGTCTGATAAAAACTCTGGTCGGTTATGAAAACTGCAATTCATTCTAGTAGTGGTCCGACAAGTCTTTTTGCTTTTTTCTAAAACAATTCGTTGAAAAATGAGTTGTTAGATGCGTACTCATGCCAAATTTGCCCCGTTACCATGGCAACCTGAGTTTCTTTGGTCCCCAGAGTCGCGGTTACTAAATTCATTGTTGTCCCCAGTTTTTCGTCGGGAGCGTTCTACCTGGTTTACATTAGCCTTGCCCGCAACCAAATAAAGGTCCGAATGTCTTTATCATAACTTTCTCCTGTTTTGTATTGTAAGCGTTAGAAAACTGCGCCAAAGAACACTAAAACCAAGAAATCCGGAATGTTACACAAAACACACATCAACCACGTAAGGTACGTGTAGGAAATGTGCTATTTATCGGTTGGGCCCATTTATTTGGTACCAATCTACCCGGAGAGGAGATGACCTGATATCGAGGGCGTGAACACAAACAGAACAGATTGCTGGCCGTGTGATGGAGCACAAAACACGACCACCGGCGCAGATAAGCACACACTGCGATCAAGTGTGTTTACAGAGACTAGAAAATACGCGGATCTACGATGTTATCAAGAAGTCAAGACGGTTTGGGTACTTTTTACTGTTATCGAAAACATGTTTCACATGAAAGGTGGACCTAAATACACTGCAAAAACGTCACCAATACAAACTCATCCAATTGTGCTCCGAGGTGAGTTACTGGCTCACAACCGAGACTTTCACAGCGCGCAAGCCCGTACTTCCATTGCTAATAACGTATCTGAACTCAACAGCTATTGTCCACTGCAGCACATAAAGCACGCTACCAGGAGCCAGCTAGTGATACGTACCGGTGTGACATGAAAAGGATTGAGAAAAAAAGGACAGTGAGGGAGAGAAAGGGAGAGAAAAGGAAGGAAACAGAGAGCAAGACAGATGTGTAGAGGAGGGAGGGAGGGAGAGAGAGAGAGAGAGAGAGAGAGAGAGAGAGAGAGAGAGAGAGAGAGAGAGAGAGAGAGAGAGAGAGAGAGAGAGAGAGAGAGAGAGAGAGAGAGAGAGAGAGAGAGAGAGAGAGCGAGAGAGAGAGAGCGAGAGCGAGAGCGAGAGAGAGAGCGAGAGCGAGAGCGAGAGCGAGAGCGAGAGAGCGAGAGAGCGAGAGCGAGAGCGCCGCACACTATCCTTCAGACAGCATGTGGCCAGCCTCAAGGCCAGGATGGTCAGGAGGTGCAACGCCCTGAGAGCAGTTGGAGGTAAAGCCTGGGGCGCGAGCACCACGGACCTGAGGTCGCTCTACCTGGCATACATCAGGGCGTGCGCGGACTACGCTGCAGCGGGCTGGATGCCAGGAGTGGCCTCCACTACTCTGGAGCAGTTGGAGGTCGCCCAGCGCCAGGCATGCCGGATCATCACCGGCTGCCTCAGGTCCACCCCGGCGCCAGCGCTGGAGCGCGAGGCGGACGTGATGCCGTTCGCGATACGGCGGAGGCAGCTGACGGCCGCGGCGACCCAGCGGCACCTGAGGGACCTCCCGGAGGACCCCCTGCAGCCGGTGCTGACAGCGGCGAGACCCAGACAGCGGCTCCACCGAGACCGAGGCTGGGCCGACACGGGACTCAGTGCGTCCTCGGACGCTGGTCTGGGAGATCTCCCGCGGGAGCCGGTGCTGGTGGTCCCACGGACGCCGCCGTGGGGGAGTGCCGCGGGAGGCGTCACCATCAGAAGTGCTGTCGTGAGACCGACAAAGAGAACGGACCCACCGGACAAGCGGCTGGAGGCGGCACAAGAGACCCTGGCGGGACTCCCGCCAGCCGACTACATTGTACACACAGACGGATCGGCCACAGACGGTGTCGAAATGGCGGAGCGGGAGCCGTTGTCTTCCGTGGTGCGACGGAGCTGGAGAGGATCCGGACCCCTGCAGGCCGCTGGACCTCCAGCTACCGCGCGGAGCTAACGGCGCTCGACTCTGCCCTCGCGTCCCTCCTGAGGGCGCTGAGAGCCCTGCTCCGCGGGAGGTGCGAATATGTACCGACTCCCAGTCGGCCCTGCGTCGCCTCGCGGAGAGCCCGGCGGCGCAGACGGATGTCCTGGCGGACAGAGTCTGGCAGAGGCTGCTGGACCTGGCCGACCGCGGGACGCACACGTCCCTGCAGTGGGTTCCCGGCCACGCCGGGCTCCCCGGCAACGAGCTGGCCGACGAAATCGCACGGGAAGCCGCCAACCTGGAGCAGCGTGACGTGCCGGTAGACCTCCCGTCAGCAAAAGCCAGGCTGAGGAGGCACGCCCACCGGGAGTGGGAAGAACGGCTACAACCGACCCGCTACGCCCTGCAGAACGGAGTGCGCCGGTCCCCTCCGGCTGAGCGCCTGGGACTCTCCCGCCGGGAGTGCGTGGAGGCCGCGAGACTCCGTACCGGCCACTCACTGATGCTGCGGGAGTACCGGCACCGAATCGGCCTGGAAGACGACCCCACCTGCCCTGAGTGCGGGCTGGAGGATGAGACACTAACTCACCTCCTGACCGACTGCCCCGCCCGGGCAGAGGCGAGACGAAGGATATTCGGAGACGACGAGCCGGAGATGAGGGAAGCACTGGGAGACCCGACGAAGCTGGTGGAGCTCCTGAGGCGGCTGGGCCGCCTGTGAGGCGTCCCCCCGTATGGCTTCCAGCCAAGGGCCGGAAGCACTTCACTTCACTTCAGAGCGAGAGCGAGAGCGAGAGCGAGAGCGAGAGCGAGAGCGAGAGCGAGAGCGAGAGCGAGAGCGAGAGAGAGAGAGAGAGAGAGAGAGAGAGAGAGAGAGAGAGAGAGAGAGAGAGAGAGAGAGAGAGAGAGAGAGAGAGAGAGAGAGAGAGAGAGAGAGAGAGAGAGAGAGAGAGAGAGAGAGAGAGAGAGACGTCCGTGCCGGCTCACCTCGTAATGTCCTCATAGAGGGCCTGGCGCTGCTCGGGCTCCAGGCTCGGCCAGAACTGCAGCAGGTGCTCCTGACCGGCCTCCTTCAGATCGGCGCGCAGCCGCTCCACGTCCATGGCTGCTGGCTGGGAAGGGAGAGCACGCGTCAGAGCGGCGGTGCTTACAGTGGGGAGAGCACGCGTCAGAGCGGCAGTTACCCCAGGGGATGAACACAACTCAGAACACCAGACGGCAGTGCTGACAGCGGAAAGAACAAACGTCAGAGTGGCATAACTTACAGTGGGAACCACACACGTCAGAACGGCAGTGCTTACAGTGGGGACAACACACGTTAGAATGACCGTGCTGATGGCGGGGAGAACACACGTCAGAACGGTAGTGATGACAGCGAACACGAGGAGCAATGCGTCGGTACCAGCAGAGATTACAGAGTCGGTGAGACAGACGGGGGACAGCAGGAATGATCGGTGCATAAGGCAGAGCCGGCAAACTTATTGGTTGATGCCGAAAAGCACGGCGAGCCTCGAGGGGCAGTGGGGATTGGCACAGAGAGCCCGCAAAGGGGGGGGGACTACCTAGCTGGGTCGATAGAGATGGGGGACCACGAATTAGTATCGATGAGCAGAACGCAAACACAGGCTAGCGGAAGACGATACCGACCAGCACTATAGCGTTGGCATCAATAGAGATGGGAGGCCGTCGGCTAGCATTAGCAGAAGCGGAGGGTATAGGAAAGGATCAATAGCAACGAAGAGCCGACCACCCTCCGGCAGGAATTTACTCAGCATTATTTGAACGAAATCCGACTAATCAGGTAGATTCAACAGGATCAGATCGACTTTGCATCGTTTCAACAAATTAACGTGATTGAACATTATTGAACGCTGGTAACGACCCGAAGCGATCGTAAATCGCATCAGAATTTTAGTTCATGGGACGGAGAAACTGATTAACAGACAGCCACACGCTGCACACTGGGCCGATCGCCAGGTCTAGCACGACATGGGTAAAAAATCGAACTTTGTAGATGTGCAATGAAACCTATACCAATTTGTTCAAAAATGATCATACTACATTGCTGTGGTCTTTGTTTTCCAACACAATTGCTATTTCATGGCGAAAACTCAGCTTAAACACGAACTTCGGAATCGTTTGGATCGAACTCGTCCCCCGCACTCTTCAACAACGTATCTTTGATCCACGAAAACAATCACAATTTGAGGAGGAATTCCACATTTATATACACCAAACGATAGCTCCGGGTCTGCAAAACACACATAACCACATGAAAATGGCGAACTCCTACTTGGTTATGATGTATTGGCACCGCAAAGATTTAAAGACGAAAATATAATTTCACATAATTTATGTCACACACAAATAGACTTTTAAAAAAAGTACCGCAGAGTACCGCTTCGAAAATCTCGCTACTTGTCAATAATTCATTGCACTACAAGATCCAACAGTCATTTTTTGCGACTTTTTGCGACTTTGGATGTAGCAGCCAAACATCAACCCGCGCCGGACCGGTGCTCGGCGTCAAACGCGCCGGGCCGGGAGGTGTTGATTGAACACTCTCCTTCTAACTCGGCTCTTGGGCCACATAGCGACACGTGAGTGGCGTTCGAAAGAGCGCCCGAAATTCCAGATGGAGTAATTAGTCATTTCTAGGTCAGGTCAAAGGTCACGTCACCAGAGGTCATCAAAGGTAAAATGTTGCATATATCAACATTTCTCGAAAACTGGCCCTTACCTCGGGGACCAATAGAGCTACATCGTCGCGGAAAAGTGCATTCAATTGCTCTTTTAGCGGTCTTTCTGAAATAAGCCCTCAGATTTGGCTTAATCCTCGCCCCTAGTGGTGTTTTTCCAGCCGCGAACGTATAGAAGGAGTCCGTTGGACCCCCCGCCGTTTCGCCCCTGATCGAGCTAGAGATTCGCGGAAAAGACGAGCGTGTTACCCGTGACAAGAGGAAGCTGATGATACCCAATTGTAAGGTCCTAGGTCATCGGTTGAACTTCCAGGTCAGGTCAATGACCCAAAAGTCGGGAAAATCGGGACCTGTTAGAACATCGTAAAGGGTGGCTGCTATGGGTTTTTTGTGTGCTGATCACGAATATAATGGTATTTACGATCATAGATGATGTCTTCATACATTTCGGCCAGGTCGGGTCAGGTCAGGTCAGGTCAACCAGTAACGGTTTTGCCGGGTATTTGCAGTAGGTGGCAACCGCCTCTGACACTTTGTAACGTGTTACGAAGGCACCAAAGCTACATAGTAAATGTTCATATGGTTGCTAAATTCGAATTCAGCTCCAAAAACTAGCCTAGAAACATGTAAAATTCGAAAAAGTGAACCAACGTCATCAAGGGTCAATGACCTTACCTGACCTTATGGTGACCTTGACACCCACCCTAATGCATGGGAGCAACATAATATCCCATGTTTGAACGCCTTAAACCAAGAAAAGACTGCAAACCCGCGGCTAATGCGAGCCGACATACGCTGAATCGCGATTCAGGCCAAACATGGTCTCGAAAGAAGGTCACAGGTCAAAGATCATTAAGGTCAGGGTCATGAAATTTTCAGGTTAGCTGTAAAAGTAGTTATCGCGAGGGTACTGAAAGTTTCGTTGCGATCGGCCGCTTTTTACGCGAATTACTCGCGAAAAACCAAGGGTTCCGTTCGAAGATCCAGGCCCTGTCGCGCTAGGATGGCATATCGGCCCACTGTGCGCTGATGTAGTCCGTGACTATCGGTCACCCTGCAGACGCCGCGATCTATGCACCTATCAAGACCCGCGGACCCAACACCGATGACCCGGGGCGCTCACCAAAGAGTGGCCCTCGGACACTTCGCCACAGAGCAGACACAGCTAATACCTCCCGCTAATGCCTCTGGCGTTCCGTGAACACCTGTGGCGTCGTCCCCCTGTCCCACACCGGCGCCACAGGGCACTCGTCCCCGCTGTGCCGCGGGCAGAAGTGGGCCCTCCGCCGTCCGCTCCGCAGCAGGCAGAAGTGGTCTCCCTCCCTCTGCGGCGGGCAGTAAAGATCGTCCCTCCCTGCTCTGCTTTTTTACGCGGCCCGCGTCGCCGCGTTTGACGGGAGGCGTTTGACGGGTGCTGGGCTCTAACATCCCGCTGAAGTCAGTCAGAAACAGCCCACTCCAAGTCCGCTAGCTCTATCTCAGTGTGTAGTTCCTCTTGAAAGCATCGCGTCTCGGAAGTACCGCCGTCGCTCCCTGGTTTGACAAACCTTGGCAGTTTTGAGGGTTGGCCGTCTGGCTGGCCCGTGAAATTGTGAAAACGGCGCAGGTCGGCCAGGCTGCCAGCCCTCTAAAGCCAGGGGCGCTGAAACCAGGGAGCGATAGCGATACTTTGGAGACGCGATACTTTCAAGAGAGACTACACTCCACGCCAAAAGTTTGTTGGACTTTGCCAACAGATAATACAGGAATCCCTCATTTGAGGTGCAGAAACACATGAGAGGAGCGGCGGTAAGGAGGTCATTAGGGGGGGGGGGATTCACGCACTTACGAGAACGGGCATTTGACTTCCGTGAAAAGGAAGGTGTGCATAAGGAAGAATATTTGCACCCGTTTGCTATACCTGCTACTAAGTAATGCACATTGCACAGCACTTCGCTCAGTTATCAACTTCTTGTACCTATAATTAGGCATTACTGATGCACTGAATAAGTTGAGCTGAACATGAAAACAATGAAAGAAACAAACGACAGCTCGCTACGGTTTGAAACAATATAACACTTTTTTGTTCCCTTATGACCTGGTGTAGGCATGGACGGGGTGGCATGCATTGTTAGTTTTTAGAGCTTGTGTGTGAATCTGACGCACCAAAGAAATGCGGGGGAGATATTGGAAGCACTATTGCATTGCAGTAACCGTCACAGCCCGAACATGTACCGCAAATAAGATAAAGTAACTACAGGGTCGTTGTGAATCCGGGTTCATCCAGTCGCTCACAACACCTGATGACAAAATTATCAAAGCATGAAGGCATTACAAAGCCCCTGGAAGTTTTGTTATATAGCTAGTTTTGTTATATAGATAGCTCGGAGAAGGTGATTTTTAGCTGTTTTATCAGGTGTCGCAGTATTTGATTTTAACAGTGTTGTGTGTTGTTCGTTATGAAGTGTTTACTGACAACGACCAGGGAATAGCCCATTATATGCGGATCTGGTTTGCTACTGTGACAATAAACAATAAACAATAAACAATTTGTCACGGGACGATTGCAAAAGGGGCACATAACTAACGACAGACATTGCAGGAATTTGAGACGGACATGATGACGACAGTGACACAACAAAGACGCACTGTGGGGAGGAAGGTCGAGGAAATAGTGCGTCACTGTTCCCATCACCGACGACTCACAGAAGCGACGTAAAAGAACCTGATCATACACAGAGATCCGGCCGGCGGCCGCCATTGACACTAATTGACACTTCCTTCAGAGAACAAACTCCTTTGCAAGCAGCTGAAACGCCGCCTCCGATACTCAAAGCTGAAGTTGTAGGTTCAGGGTTCAGTGATTATAGCTCAGCAATTATATGGCGACGTCTGCTCAGCTGCAAAATAACATTAAACAAAACAAAACAAGAATACCGTTAGCGTTTGATCGAATGCCGAAGCGTGGATACGGGTTTCAATACGAGCATAAGACAAGAAAATTGTTAAATCGCACATCAACCGGCATTTCAATTCACTGTCTGAGTCGAATCGAGCAGCGAACGACCCAGATCCACAACAAACGGACTGGACACGAGCCGTGTTTCGCGCACCGACTGAGCAGCCTGAGCAGACTCGTGCAGCGAACGACCCAGATGCACACTAAACATGACTGACTACGAGCCGTGTTCGCGTGCCGGGCGGCCCGGACCCGCGCGGTGGGGTCATCACTCTGTCGCCCCGTGCTCATCACGACCTTTCGTAGTCAGGGCTCACGGTGGGCTGGCTGGCCTTTCGTAGTCAGGGTCGGCGGTGGACCGTCGTTTCGTGGCCAGCGCTGGTGTCGGCGGGAGCGGGAGCGAGCCAGAGGTCCCAGAGAACGGTCAGTGACGCCCACCGACCGCGGTCAGAGGCTCCGCCGTCCGAGAACGGTCGCCCGCCCCCAGCAGGGCGCGTATTCATTGCCCCATTGCAGCGCAGCAGCTCCTGCACGAGATGGAAACTAACTAGCCGCGCACTCGCCCACAGCCCGATAGGACAACGGTGAATGTGGGCCGTGAATGTTAACCGAGCTACCAAAACGGCTCCAAATGTCTGTACCAGGAAAACTCTGTATAAGTAAACGTGTCTCCCTTGACATGTGCGTGTTGGCGTCTCAGTCATGTCCATGTCTCTACGAAAAACGTCACGGGCCTCGGCGACGGGTTTGATCGCGGACTGGTTTGTACCTCGAACACGTACCTAATGAGAACCGAACGAGTACCGACGGACCAGCAGCCGGGCTCCTCCGACTAAACCCGGCGGCCACAGCCAGCGTAACCGGCACGCAGTGCCCACTGGTTATGTAAGTATTTATGGTATGCAATTATGTAAGCATGATTGCTCATTATGCTCATTATGTAAGCATGATTATGGTAGGTAGTCGGTACGCCACATGATGAATCCTTGCAAAAATGAAGCCTTTTAATTTCTTTGGGCCTGAGCAGAACATCTTAATACGACCTATTTTTCGCAATAACTCAAATTGAATAATATTGTAGGGACATTAGGGCAACAAGAAGGCTTTCATTCACTGCTATTGTTATGGATTATGTAACAACAGCAAAAGGGAAAATACACACAAGCACACAAGCGTGCCTCACCTGCATCAGGAATACGTCGCTGAAAGACGATGTCACTATCGGACATCGGATATAGAAATAACATCTTACACCGGGGTTTGCAGTGCACTTGGAAAACCTCGAACTTGCACTGAGGAGGGTTGCTAAATAGGCACAGAAGCATCGGCCAGGATTTAATCTCAGTACTCCAGAGGGCAGAGACTTCAAAAGCAGTCCCTGGCGAGTCTCCATTCTCCAAAGGAAATGCCATAACAAGCAAAGGCCTCGACAGTGAACTGTAACAGCAGGGTAAATCTATATCACGGCGGCTAAAACAAACGAGATGCCTTCTGTCTGCTAGGCTCGCCCCTAAAGGCAAGTTGAAGTGACGAAATTCGGGGTCACGGCGCACCCCGCCCAGTGGCTATGACCGAGTAGCGTCGGCCCTACCTGTTCGTCCTATGAAGTTCGATTCGACTCAGAGTCACGGCTCCGTTAGCACGTCAGTCGCCGCTCTGTTGTCAGCGGCGGTTCACCAATTCACGGAACTGCTGGGCGATCAGTGCCCTGACGTTATATAGGACGTTAGGAGCCACTATCGTGCGGCGACCTCCCCGCCATCTAGCGGGAGAACCAGAAACTACCAGTGCATGCATGACGTGCTGCACTGTACAGCGTACGTGCTCATTAATTAAGCATTGGGATTCATCAGCCTCCTAAACTGAAACGAGCAGGCGCGTGAGAAGAATAAATCAATGAGGACGAGTAGACAAAATACATGTTCAAGGGTGGCAGCAAAGGATTCCCAATCCAGAACAGAGTCGAAAAACTACACTTAGAAGGCAGAGGAACTACCTCTTAACCCTTTGGCGCCGCCTCTTTCGGTGGCGTATTCAACAGAAGGAGCTCCGGTGCACCAGGGCAGACTTAGCCCCCTACTACCACCACAGCCAAGCCTGACTTCTCAAAATACGACTGGAGAAACGAGCGGATTGGAAGACGGTATGAAACATTTCCCTACGCTACAACGTGCAAGGCTGAGGCATGCTTTCAACCGCTGAAAAGAGTGGCTTGATTTGGTCTCACTGAGTGCGCCCTGTTGTCTGACCCTTCACGGTGAGTGGTTCACTGTGAGGGACCTGCGCACTGGCCGCGGGGACGGGAGCGGCCCGTATGGCGCCGCGGCACCACTGCCGAGTGTGGAGGACTGTGAGGAGGCCGGCAGCGACCGCCACTTGACCTAGATGGCCGGGGCCGTGAGAACACCACAGCGCCTCCGCAGCGAGCGCCGATAGGTGGTCAGTTGGTCGGCCGGGCACTCATCTGCCAGCCCCTCCCTCTGTGTACGAGGCTGGGGAGGGGTCGGCACATATACTCGTAGAGTGTACGTCACCACCGCGCAGCGTTTAACTAATTGAAGTGGCTTGGGATACTAAATTTTGGTAGGAATGTACCTCTTGGAGCTAATGTTGAATTAAACACTCGTTTGAGAGTTTGAAAACTAGGTAGTTATGGTTTCCATGCAGCATGTTGTGAAGCTATCAGTGGTGGTACACACCTAATTACGAGTATTGATACCTATACCTAATACCTCGTATTGATAGCAGCTAAAAGCCTATTGAATAACCTGACCTGACTCGACCAGCCTCAAGTGCACATACCTATACATCGTCTTTCAAAAAACTAATGAGAAATCAAAGTAAGGACCTCAAAATATCCACATACAAACCAGCTCACTGCAAGAAATTCTAGCAGGTCCCAAGTTCACCAATGTTTGAGTCGTTCACATGACCTGGGAGGTGTACCAATGACCTAGAACCCTAAAATTGGTTACCATCGGTTTCCACTCGCTACGGGCAATTCGCTCGTTTTTTCCACAATGCTCTAACTTGATCGGGGGCCGAACGGATATGGGGGGGGGGTCTAATCGATCCCCTCCCAGCTATCCCTTAGCGGCTGTAAAACCGCCAATAAGGGCGACATCTGACTGAGCTGAGACATGGGGAATCCGGCGACATGCAAACGGCGACATATAATCCAAAACCAAACTGGAACGTAACATCACAGTCGCACATTACTCGCACATACGAGTAACATGCCGTGAGTAACTCGTACTCATCCTACTGCAGGAAACGAACAGGATTCGAGTCGCCACCCAAGAGTATAATAGTGGCATAAGAAGCTCTGAATCGCCAACACAGTCATGCCAAGTCCCTCACCCTTCACCAGCTGGTCGCCTCGAAAATCGGTCAAGCACATAATCACACAGCGCCCCAAAAGTCCATGGCTAGGACCGTGCTGTCGAGTAAGATGGACACATGTGACAGGAGAGACACACAATAAAAGACACATAGGTTTAAGAGAACAGATAAGTTTGACAAAATATTTGGGATACATAATGAACTAAGATGGAAGTGCAGTCAAGAATGGCCTTACAAGCACTAACACTGTACCAAACCAACTAGATATTTGACTTAAATGCAAAAAAAGGTCCAGCTCTTCCATGGCATGTGCTTATTGGACTGGATTTTTTCATACTCTTAAAACAACTGGCAGATAGGTATTAAGTACAAACATTCAAATGAAACTGATGCACTATAACATTTCTACTTATCTAAAACTTTTTATATTGTTACAGCTACTACAACATCTATGTAGATACTGCAGTTACGTATTTTGCACCTACCTGGTGAGCATCCACTGGCTTCTCTGAGAAGTTGAGTGAACTCTGAGATGATCCCATGTCTCAGCCTGAAAAAATGAAAATGTGGGTGAAAACAGTCACATGGAAAGAGAGTATCATTTTGATTTGCAAAATTATTGGCTATGGCAACTGACATATTAGTTAGCAAGGCTATATAAAACCATCTTGGTAACATGATTTCTGGGAGTAGGATAGGCAGGTGCTGAGTTTATATGGTTGCTCAGCCAAGCAGTTCCCTCCCACTCCTCGCCCTGTCCGGTCGTGCGCCGAATTCGCCACCTGAGCCCTTGACCTTGTGGTCCCGGTCCCGGTTTGTTTTGAAGACTCGCCGATTGAAAACTAAATGTTTCAGAAGAAAATTGTTTTGGTTTAGCACAAGTTGCTGCAAAATCACAGGAGACTTGAAAATTAAGTAGAAAACATATAAAAAAATATTCAAAATATTTAGCTGTTAGCAAGACTTTGCACTTTCACAAACATGTCCACCAGAGCCCGGCTGGGCTCCAACGCGTCGTCGCAAAATGCAGATAGTCAATGTGTGTACGTTGATGGAGAAGAGGCTGACGAAGGTGAAGGTGAAGACGAGAAAGACCAAGTACACCTGTAAAGGAGGTAAAAAGGTATGTGGCCTTGCTGTAGCTGATGGGGAAGATTCAATCCAGTGTGATCTTTGTGAACAGTGGTTCCATCCAAACTGTCAGGGACTAGATGATAAGGCATTTCAGGCTATATCAGACAGTGAGCTCCTTTGGCTCTGCATGACATGTAAGCCAAACCTGATGGATGTGCTGCGGATGGGAAAGAGGCTTGAAGATAAACTAGAGGCAGTAGAAAGAAAGATCATCGGAGTGTTCAAAGTGTCGGGTCCCAAACCGGATCAGAACAATCAGTTGGAAGAAAAAATCAATGCTCTGGAGAAAGTAGTGGTGGAGGTAATGAACAAGCAGCAAGCCCAAGTCGACAAGTCACTTGAGGCACAAAAGGAAGTCGTACAGACAATGCCAAAGCTCCAGTCGGAGCTCAAGAAAAGCGCACAAGAGTTGAAAACACTGGTGGAAAGGAAGGAGGACAAAGAGAAGAGAGAAGTGAATTTGATAATTCACAATGTACCAGAAAGTAAGTCAAGTGACCCAGAAGCGAGGAAAGGCTATGACCTGAAAAGTTTCAGTAACATAAAGGAGGCTCTGCTCGGAGAAGGAAATATGGAGGTAGACAAGATCTATAGACTGGGAAAGAAAAGGGAGAGTGAAAATGGAGAAGAAGAGCCCAAACCAAGGCTGATGCTGGTGAGGTTGAAGAAGAAGGAGCATGTGGAAGCACTCATGAGCAAGAGATGGGACTTACGTAAAATAACGTTTGACAATGTATACCTGACAAGAGACCTCACACCTGAGGAGAGGGAAGTTCAGAAGAAGTTAAGGGAGGAGCTGATAGCAAAAGGACGAGAGACACACAGAGTCTTTCGGGGCAAAGTTGTCCCGAGACAGTAAGCCTGCAGAAAGGGACAAGAAAACACAAAGTACAAGTAAGTCCCTGAAATGTATGTATACAAATATCAATAGCCTGTCAAACAAGCATGATGAACTTAAATGTCGAGTACAGCAAGAAAATCCTGATGTGATTGGACTGACTGAAGTTTGGCAAAAAGAGGTGTTTGTGATGGAGGGTTATCATGCAGCTTTTAGAAAGGACCGACCTGATGATCAACTCGGAGGAGGCGTCATGTTGTTGGTTCGGGACAGCCTAACGGTCTCTGAGTGTATGGAACTTAACGAAATGCCATACAAAGAATCAGTTTGGTGTATAGTGAAGCCAACAAGGGCAGTCAGGATCCTTGTCGGCTTATGTTACAGAAGTCCGGCAAGTACATTTGACAACAATGAGAGACTGATTGACCTTGTTGGGCGTGCTAGAAGGTTTCAAGCTTCAAGTATACTACTGATGGGGGATTTTAACTATGGGCAAATAGATTGGGAAGCAGGACTAGTAAGGGGGCCGGATGACTCTGATGCTGCTATGTTTTATGAATCGGTCCAGGATCTATTGCTGTTCCAGCATGTAAGTTTCCCGACAAGATTTAGAGAGGGTTGTACCCCATCACAGCTGGACTTGGTGTTTAGTACTGAAGAACTTATGATAGACAACTTGGAGGCAAGCAGTCCAGTGGGAAAGAGTGATCATGTAGTGTTATCATGGTTATTCAGGTATGGTAATGATAGTGATGGGGAGAGAAGAAGTGAACAGACAAAGTTCAACTACAGGAAAGGGAACTATACCAACATGTCTGCAGCACTCAGACAAGTTAACTGGGACGACATCTTGTTGGACATGGATACAGAAGGAACCTGGAATTGCATCAAGAGGAAACTCAAGAGGATGATTGAGGAACATGTTCCAAAGATGAAGACAGGAAGAACTAAGAAGTGCAAAGCGCCATGGTGGCACAAGGGCCTAGAGAGAGAAGTCAAGAAGAAACATAAAGCTTGGAAGGAATATGTGGAGACGAAGAGCACAGAGTATTGGAGGAGTTTTGTACAGCAGAGAAATAAGACGACAAGTAAGATAAGAAAAGCAAGAAGGGACTATGAGAACAGAATTACAAGCAGTCTCAAACAAGCACCAAAGAAGCTGTATTCCTACATCAGGACACAGCAGAGGGTGAGAGCAGCTGTCGGACCACTCAAGGACAACAGAGGCCAGTTGACGGAGACAGATGAAGAAGCAGCAGAGGTCCTGCAATCATTCTTTAAGTCAGTGTTTACTGAGGAAAGAGGAGGTGACATCCCAGAGTTCCCGGATCGTCTGGACAGTGACCAAGTAATGACCGACATCGATGTAACAGAAGAGCAAGTGCTCAAGGAACTGCGAAACCTGAACCCAAACAAGGCCCCAGGCCCAGATGAAGTGCCCAGCGCAGTGCTCAGGGCATGTGCGGACCAGTTAGCCAAGCCTCTGTGCCTGCTATTCAGGAAGTCGATGGAGAGTGGACAATTACCCATGGACTGGAAGAAGGCAATCATCTCACCCATCTTTAAGAAAGGAGCAAGGTGTGATGCGAGTAATTACCGACCAGTCAGCCTCACTTCACAGGTGTGCAAAGTCATGGAGAGGATACTGAAGCGACACATTGTTGAGCACCTGGAGCAGCACAATATCATCAGTGAGCATCAGCATGGATTTTTACAGAAGAGGTCGTGTCAAACCAATTTGTTGGAGTCATTCGAGGAGTGGACGGAGATATTGGATGGGGGTAAGGGACTGGATGTCGTATACCTAGATTACAAGAAGGCATTCGACACCGTACCGCATAAGAGACTGTATCGCAAGCTAAGTGCCTATGGTCTGAAGGGTAGAGTATTGAGGTGGCTGATAGACTTTCTACATGCACGGCAGCAGCAGGTGAAGGTTGGTAGTAGCCACTCAAGTTGGGCCCACGTCTCAAGCGGTGTCCCACAGGGCTCGGTTTTGGGACCGGTCATGTTTCTGCTTTTTGTCAATGAGATTCCCGAACTACTACATAGCAGAGTGAAGATGTTCGCTGATGATATGAAAATGTACGGGGCAGTCACCAGCACCAACGACACACAGGCACTCCAACAAGACATGGACACACTCTCGCACTGGTCACAGACATGGCTGATGAAGTTCAACATATCCAAATGTAAAGTGATGCATTGCGGCACAGGAAATCCTCGAAGAGTGTACCATATGACACAGGACGGAACCTCGGAGTCGCTGGAAGAGACCTGCAAAGAGAGAGACCTGGGAGTGATTGTGGAAAATACATTGAAGCCGACACTACACTGCAAGATGGCAGCCAGCAGAGGCATGTCAGCCCTGAAGCAGCTCAAGGCGACCTTCCGCACAATAAGCAGGAGAAACTTCAAGCCACTCTACAACGCTTTTGTCCGACCCCACATCGAGTACTGTGCCCAAGCGGTTGGACCGTACATGGCGCAAAACTTCAAAGCGTTGGAGAAAGTTCAGAGAAGGGCGACAAAGATGGTGAAGGGGATGAAGAACGTACCATACAAGCAGAGACTCATCAATCTTGGTATGACAAGTGTAGAACAGCGCCTACGGAGAGGAGACCTTATCGAGACCTACAAGATATTGACGGGGAAGACGAAGCTGAAGCCGGAGCACTTCTTCCAGCAGAGCCAGGAGGGGAGAACCAGAGGACACTGCCTCAAGCTGACCAAGAAACGAGTGACCCACCATGCAAGGATGATGTTCTTTTCTCAACGTGTGGTGTCCCCCTGGAATGCTCTGCCAGAGGAAGTTATATCGGCACTGACTACGAACAGTTTTAAAAACCGGTTGGACCACCACTGGGCCACAAGGAATCCTCACTGAGTCATTTCTGACCTTATCCGGATGTGGGCCCTGAATAGACCCGGTCTACCCAAGCCCACTAGTAAAACCTAAACCTAAACCTAAACCTAAGATGGCTGAGCATCTTGGCTGCAACCATATGCTCAGTGGTTGCAAGCATATGGTTGCAAGCAACCATATGCTTACAACCAGGAGCCCAAAAAGATGGTCCAGAGCAATTTTACTGCTACTGTAAAAAAAAATCAATAAGAATACTAAAATATTTTGTTGATATGGGTAGATCAGTAGGGTACCAGCTTGCTGGTAAGTCCAAAGAAACAGGCAAGGTCACTCTGTTCAGCACTAAGGCAATATGGAGATGTCAATGGTAGCCAGCAGTACCTAGGCATGCAACAATCGCAATTTGATGGCACAGTGATTGAAGAACACTGTCAGTGACTCAGTGTGGGCTGGACTGACCAGTGATGTATGTGACCTCACTGCACATCAGTCGGTGACACACCAGGGAAATAAGCTAAAATTAGAGCACTCTATTTATTGCTCCCGCTACTTCACCGTCTCCCATAGGGCCCTGTGTTGAGCTGGTGTCGAGGCTCTAAAAATGACGCCGATTTTTGCACCGTTCTCACGAAAACCGCTCGGACCGCCTGGAAACTAATTGTTCCGCTCTAAAAATTTCATGATCGATGGAAAAATGAACGAGGAAAAGATT